TTTGGATTTTTTAACTAGTATATCCTACAACATAGATAAAAGTTCATCTTTATCAAATTGAATTAATTAAAATAAGTAATGTTGAAAAAATATCTACTTACAATATTTTGAGCAACTTCACATGTAGCCTCTTATGTGAACTCCCCTCCGAGTTTTTGACGTGCCTTATTTAATTTCTCACGGCGTAATGGTGGAGATGGGCTACCATTAAGGCTTCTAGAAGGATATCCCAACTCTATTTCTCTTTGTTTTCGTTATTATTTGATCACTATATATTCCATTTTATCATATCCTCTATGAGACAATCTATGTGGATATATTTTTCTTGCTATATTCTCCTTTCCTTTTTGTATCTAAGTGAATAATTCGGGAGTGCTACAAGACTTCACAAACTCCTCCCAAAGTCCTTATCAATATATGAATACATCATGTATGGAGGCTCTAAGTTACATTTTGTTTTTGTAGTATAATTTTTTGTGAGTTGTGTCTTAAAACCCCTCAAACGCGCTCACCAACATATTTAATTCATTTCTTTTTCCAGCTTATCATCAATTAGAACAATAAAAATTTTATATGTTTACATGATATAGTTGATATTAATATTAAAACAAAAAATAAATGTTCATTTATACTTATTAAACAAATCAAAAAAAAAAATTTAAAATAATATCGTAATATCGGTCCATAATTGATCTTTCAAATCATCGTCAACTTCGTACCAATTTATATCAAAATGATAACTTTGCTTCTACCTTGCACTAACACCTAACCCTCTAAAACTATCATCATGTTCACCATAAGCCTTACTAGTTCTTGGACAAAAATCAAACGAGAAGTGAACACTGCTTTCGTGCACTTTTGTCACCTTGGTCGGCATCGTGGCACCTCTAGTTTTTCTTTTGTTTTTAGTATTATAAGAGGTTGTAGAATACACTACTACAAATAATACATTTCATGACAAAATTTTCGTCTCACCCTACCAAAAGTCGAGGTAAAAAGTCAAGGAGCGTCATGTTTGATATATATATATATATATATATATATATATATATATATATATATATATATATATATATATATATATATATATATATATATATATATATATATATATATATATATATATATATATATATATATATATATATATATATATATATATATATATATATATATATATATATATATATATATCACATATTCTTTCGGTTTTAAAATAAAACCCAAGCGAAAAGTATTCAATACATGTTTCGAATCTCAGCATCAGCAGTTTATGTTTTTATTTCTTTAAAAGTGGTGTCTTTTTTTCTTTTATTTTTAATTTTTAAACTAATGATCTATTCCTTTGGTTAAATTTAATAACCGGTGGATTAAATTATCATATTTTACTATAAAATCACTCGTTAATTAGGTTTTATCCTAAACCTAACTTATATGTAGTCACTCCAAAGTCTTACGTATCATTCTTTGGGATGAATTGCATGAAGGAAAAAATCTTCAATGTTCTTCAATCTTGAACAAAATACTTTTTGTGCCTTTACAATCTAACTCACATAATAATGTTGATGTTTTTGTATTCATGTAATTACCTTCTTATGTTGTCAATCAAAGAAAACATTGAGAAATTTATTCCTTTCCTCGATTGACAACATTGAGAAATTTATTCCTAAACACAATCATTCATTTCTCCTTCATGTGAAAGCATTTGCCATGAAAACATTTGCTCAAGATAATGAAATCTCTCTAGGATGGATTGCAAGTACAGAAAAAAATTTCTCTTTGTTGGAATATGTAACTTCTCAGAAATTTGAAAACAATGTAAATACAAAAAAAAACTCTTGTTTGTAACAAATAATTTCTATTGGTTTTCTCCAAGAAACCATTGTCAAACTCTTGATTTATTTAAGTAATTTATTTTAATATTTTGTGCAAACAATGTTAATATGAAGAAAAAAAAGTTTTTTTCCATTGGTTTTTAACAGAAATCAAGAGGTATGTGGCTTGGATTGGAACATATTTTATTATTTTTTATTTAAAAAGAAACACATATTACCTCAGTTTTGATTAATAACCGATGTAAAATATAAACGTGTTTATTCACTTTCTTCATCGCCCTTAAATAAATCTTCATCGTCCATTTAATGAGTATCAGCGCTCAAGATATTGTTATTAGTGATCCTCGTGAAACCTAAAATCCTCATTATAAAGCATTCTAAATATTTAAATTTGAGATAGTGAATCCATAAGAAACCTAAACGTTATTGTGAAACCTTCTATGTTTAATTAGAGTGACATGAGATTTTACAAAGTAAAAGTATCAATGTGATAGATTGCAATAGCACAAAACTATTTGCGTTAAAGGTTTGTGCTCTTAAATAATCCTATAACTGAATATTTATTTTATTTATCTAACATTTTTTGTGTTTTATATCATAAACAAATGAACGCAAAAGCCATAAAGAATATATTGCATTCAACATTTGATCTTCCTCAAGATCAATGAAATAAGGATCCCCAACATTTGCTTTTCTCTAAGATATCCAGCATTTGTTCTTCACTGATAGTGATGACGATGAAGAACAACATTTTTACTTTAATATTTTGTGTAAACGATGTAACTTGTAAACAAATTAATTTATTAATATTCTGTGAATATATATATATATATATATATATATATATATATATATATATATATATATATATATATATATATATATATATATATATATATATATATATATATATATATATATATATATATATATATATATATATATATATATATATATATATATATATATATATATATATATATATATATATATATATATATATACACACACACACATACTGTTCCCCTTGATTTTGTTATTAAACCGAGAGTTATATGGTGCTAGTTTGAAAAATATAAAAAAGTTATTGATTTCGTTCAAACCCGTGACCATTTATACTAACCTTTTAGTTATTTATAAATCAAGGGGTAAAGTTTCCACTTTTCATGTCACCCTTTGTTACCTCGGCATTATAACTGAGGTGAAATTCATTTCACGTCTGACATGATATGTGTTATTTATAGTTGTGAGAGGTCGTAGGAAATGTGTTGGTCGAGTTGTCCATCTTTGTGTAAAACTAAGAACTGTATTACTCATGTAAAAGAAAATTTCAAAAACATACATTCAACATATTCTCAAACTATATTACTCAAACTAACTTTATTCGAGAAAAACATACATTCAAGAACATACATATGAACTATATTACCCATGCTACACTTTCTAAGAACATACATTCAACATATTTTCAAAATAATATTATTCATGAAAAAGAACATTTTAAGAAAAATAACATTTTAGTGGTCAATACAATTTTCTCAAACTAACACTATTAAAAAAAATAACATTTTTATCAGCATTTTAGTGGGGGAAAAGTTTCGTTCGAGTTAGGTTGAAAGAGTTGATGTTCGAAGAGTTGATGTTTGAAGAGTCGTGTTGGAAGAGATGATGTAATATGAGTTTTAATGAAGATGAAAATCACCTTGGTTTTTTTAAGAGAATGATGATGAAACGATGAGTGTTCATACGTAAATGAAAAGATAAAGTCTAGTTCGGTGAAGTATTCATGCAAAAGAATTTTCACGTTAGGTATAGGCGCTAACATGGAAAATATATTAATTTAAAATTAAAAAAACGTTATATTCTAGAAAATTCATGAAAATATTAATTTTGTAATTCAAAATAAATAAATAAATAAATAGAGAAAGGAAAAGTGTGCCAACAGAGAAAATGTAACGCTTGGTTCCTAAGCCAATTGAAAAATAAATAAAAAATAAATAAATAATGTAATTATGATTCAAAGTGAGGTCTCTGGTAGATCTAGTCGCTCTATTTTTGCCAATACCGAGAGAATATGATGTATATATTTTTTTTTAAATAATCATGGCGCTCTTGGGGCATATACCTCGATTGTTTGATGGTTGAGGATTTAAATGATATGTTGGAAACTTGGAAGCTAGCTTTAGAAATGCATGGTATTCACATACGTAGAAGTAAGACGAAGTATATGGAATGTAAGTTTAGGAAAAGAAGAAGCATTTCCATCCTAGATGTAAGAATTGGATAACATATCTTTGAGTCCGTAATACAAATTGATGGATAAATATAAGAGGATGTAAATCATTGAATTCAAGTTGAGTGACTAAAAAGGTGGAGGACTTCAAAGGTTTTATGTAACACAAATGTATCTTTCAAGTTGAAAAAAAAATTATCGGACTATGATAAGACCTGTGGTGTTGCACGAGACAAAATGTTGGGCGATTAAGAATTAATATAAGAATAAAGTAAGTATAGCATACATGAGAATGCTATGTTGGGTGTGTGGTAAAACTATACATAATAAAATTAAAAATGACAATATTATAAAGTATTAGACAACACCTATAATAAAAAAAAAAAAGATGACGAAAAATAGACTTAAATAATTTAAGCATATGAATGAAGTCAAATAGTTAAAAATAGAGAAAGAAATAGAAAAATTATAAAAGAAATTATTAAGAAAAATTTTTGAATAAACAATCTGGATAGATCATTATGATAAAAGTTGATCTATGTAGTCGAAAGATAAAATTTGATTGTTGTTTTTCAAATTATTTAATTTAAAATCTTAAATAGAATAGTTTCTAATCAAGCTTTAATTATCTTTAAATTGTGAAAACATCCTTTTCTAAGAAACAAGGTAACATGATTTCACTGTACTCCAATTACTTTATATTTTTTTATTTTGTCTGTTTTAATCTTTCCACCATGATTTAGGCCTCGCTTAACGGCCAACAAATTAACCCGGGAAATCAGAAATCAAGAAACATTTGGGTCCCATATGTTTAGTTTAATCACTCTATCTAGTCCTCTTTATACTCTCTATATATACACACATCCTCTTAGTACACTACTTCTCACCTCTCTCTTCACTCCTTGCTTTCTCATCTCTCATAGGGAACCAACATGACAAACACACCTTTCTCTTTGGTTATTTTATTCTTCTCTCTTTTCATGCCTACCCTTATTTCCTCTTCACCTCTTCAAGACCCTGAATTGGTTGTCCAAGAAGTAAACAGGTAATTAAATGTATATTCAGAGCCGTCTTAAGTTTTCAGAATCAGATTAACTACACGTTAAATGTAGCAAATAAAATTTGAACTATATTTCATTATGGTTTAACCATGACAAATATTTCATGAGTGTTTTTTAAATACGATTTAATTTTGCAACATTTTAGATTATGTGCTCAAAGAGGGTACTGATTGTGTTAGTTTTTTTGTATGCAGATAATGTTGACATTTATCCATTTATATGTTTTTGTTTTATGTTTTGTTGCAGGAAAATTAATGCCTCTGCGGTTAGGAGAAATTTAGGTTACTTGTCTTGTGGAAGTGGAAACCCTATTGATGATTGTTGGAGATGTGATTCCAATTGGGAAAAGAACAGGCAGAGGCTAGCAGATTGTGCAATTGGGTTCGGCAAAAACGCAATGGGTGGAAAAAACGGTAAAATTTACGTTGTAACGGACTCGGGCGATGATGATCCGGTGAGCCCAAAGCCAGGAACACTCCGTTACGCGGTGATCCAGGAGGAACCACTATGGATAATCTTCGCGCGAGACATGGTGATAAAATTAAAAGAAGAATTAATCATGAACTCTTTCAAAACGATTGATGGTAGAGGTGCCAGTGTGCACATTGCTGGTGGTCCATGCATTACTATTCAATTTGTGACCAATATTATCATCCATGGAATAAATATCCATGATTGTAAACAAGGTGGGAATGCTATGGTGAGGGACTCCCCAGGGCATTTCGGGTGGAGGACTATATCGGACGGCGACGGCGTGTCGATTTTTGGTGGAAGTCATGTTTGGGTTGATCATTGTTCTTTGTCTAATTGTGAAGATGGTTTGATTGATGCTATTTATGGGTCCACTTCTATAACAATTTCTAACAATTATATGACACACCATGATAAGGTCATGTTGTTGGGTCATAGTGATTCTTATATTAAAGATAAAAACATGCAAGTTACAATTGCTTTTAACCACTTTGGTGAAGGTCTTGTTCAAAGAATGCCGAGGTAAAATTGATTATATTTTATTAAATTTTTTAAAACTATATTTCTAGTGGTATTTTTATTAAAAAAATATTTTTCAAAATTTAGCAAATAATTTAAATATTTTATTGTTATATATAAACCAAATATATTACTTATACAATCCTTCTAAAAAAAATGACCTTTTTATAATAATAATAATAATAATAATAATAATAATAATAATAATAATAATAATAATAATAATAATAATAATAATAATAATAATAATAATAATAATAATAATAATAATAATAATAATAATAATAATAATAATAACAATAATAATAATAATAATCTAATAATATTTTTTAGTGAAATTAAAAATGAAAAAAAACACTTTTTAAATATTACTAAATAAAAAGTTTCATATTTTACTATTTTCAAAACTAAATTTAGTAAAAAAAATTGTAAATTTTATATTATATAAATAAAAATTAAATTAATTAGTTTTATTGTCATTTAAAAAAATTTAAACAAAATTGAATATATTAATTTACTAATTGATTTTATATTCTAAATAAAACATATAAAAAAGAAACATTTTAACTTAAATTAATAAGTTTACTAAAATATTATAATAAATTTTTAAAAAAAAAAGGTATATTCTTTAAATTTACTTTAAATTTTCTAATATGTTGGGTCAACCCTATTTTAAATATTTAAAAAACAAAATGTAACTTTCATACAATACGGTGATTCCGGCGAATTTGCTGCTAATTTAAAGATACAAAAAATCTATGTGGGTCTAAATGCATCACTTTTTTCAAATCATTTGATTAATTCTCAATTAGCTTGTAGGACCAATATAATTATTATTCCAAATTTAAAAATTCTATCATGTGTCAAATTTACAGGTGTAGGCTAGGATATTTCCATGTGGTGAACAATGACTACACTCATTGGGAAATGTATGCAATTGGAGGAAGTGCTAATCCAACCATAAACAGCCAAGGAAACAGATTTGTTGCACCAAATGATAGATTCAGCAAAGAGGTGACAAAGTATGAAGATGCAGCAGAGAGTGAGTGGAAGAATTGGAACTGGAGATCAGAAGGAGATTTATTGTTAAATGGTGCATTTTTTACTCCTTCTGGTGGTGGAACTTCATCTAGCTATGCAAGAGCTTCAAGTTTGAGTGCAAGACCTTCTTCTCTTGTGGGTTCTATAACTGTTTCTTCTGGAACACTTAACTGTAAGAAAGGCTCTCCTTGCTAGCTAGATGATAAGGACCTTTCATGCAAAAGGAAGGGGGATGGGATATATATTAATTGGGACAAAAAGTAACTAAAAGGCCTATATATGAGGTCTATAATATTTCTAGTACCTTTGAATTTACTTTTCCTCCTCCTTTCCTTTTTCTTTTTTTTTTTTCCTATTTGTATTTTTGTTTGATTAGATATATTTTTATTTTGTAATATAATATAAAAATTACATATATTCAAAACTTTAAATAAGAGTTTGTTACAACGGTTTAGGTCATTGTAAAATCGTATTAATAGTCAACGGTATCGCTTTTCTTTTACAAAAATGTTGTTATAACTCTGACAAAATTGTGAAGTTAGGTAAGAGGTTGTGAAGTATTTCTCTATATTTTCAAAGAACCAAATGTTGATAGATTTTGGTTTGATGGCGTTGTCTTCCACTTTTTTCCGGAAGACAATAATATTGTTTTATAGGCTCTATTTAGTCTTCCAAAATTAGATTATGTTATATCTCAATTTGATGGTAACAAAAGTTTAGGTTCGAATGAGTTTAACTTCTCATTTTTCAAAAGGTTATGAAATATAGTTAGAGGAGTGTAGCATCCCAAAATTTGTCTTATCGTTTTAACTGTAACTGACTTATGCTTCATTTATTTGCATCATTAATCATATGATGGCATTGGTTCTTGAAACATGGGATCAAGTTGTTTCTGTGGCTCAAGAGTTCTTTTTATTCTAAGTTTTTAAGCATCAAGTATCAGAGGCTTCAACATTTATTTTGCTCAGTGATCGGGCAACAGATTATATTTTTCAGCAGGTTACTTTGAACTCAGGAGACAGATCACAGTTTATTTCAGGTCATCATCCATGGTATTACGAAGATTATTCAAGAGGAATCGGGAGAAATTAAAAGAAGCTACTAAATCAGGGTTTTGCGCATGATTTGTGTTTATAGGGTTATCTTGCAATATTCGTAACTTCCTCGTCTTTGATTTGAATGAGGTAAATTTGTAGTCAAATTGATGAACTCATCATAAACGACAAGTTTGTGGAAGGATGCAAGTCCAAAAAATGCACAGATCAAAAGTTATGGAGGTAACAGTTGATTCCCCAGGCTTCCAACCTTGTGGCGCCAAAAGAATTCAAATTTTCCATGTGTTAATCGATTAACACATTTTTCCTAGCAAACTGTTAATCAATTAACCAGTGTAAAATTTGTTCAGAAAGTTCAGTTTAAGCACTGCAATAAATTTTAACTCACTTTGATCACTTGATTTCATTTTCACACCAGTAGAAGGATCTAGAAGTGGTTCTAAATTTGATTTATTTTCCAATTAATTCAAATTCCCTCCAAATTTCAAATATTCTCATTCCTAATTCCACTTCTAATTTCCATTCCTCACATTAACCCACACTCCAAGCCATATTTAATTCCAAACCTAAACCATACTTAAATCATTTTTGCTCCAAATCTCTCATAACTCTCACTAATTTTCTGATTTTTTCTACACATCTCACTTCAATTCTCTCAGCTTTTCTCTCATTCCAAAACCCTCACAAAAGCTCTATAGCCAAAAGTTTCACAAATTGCACATTGCAATTTGTGAACTCTTGAGTTAAACCTCTATTGCATCATCATCCTTGGTTCAATTCTGGTTTTGTAACTCATTTGGATCTTGAATTAAGTTAGTGGAATCACTTCTTGAAGATTTTTTGCTTATTTGTGGATTATTGCTTGGATCTTCAAGTTTTCTTGCTAGAGCTTCATAGATCCTTGAATTTCTTACTTGGATCTGTTAATTGCAGCTTAACAACACTCACCAAAGAAAATCTCAGCTTTGCAGGTTGGTAAACTCTAGATCTAGCTTTGATTTTGCTTAATCTTGCATTTCACAATGTAGATCCTTGGTTTTTTTTGTGATATTTGATCCATTGCTTGTTTTGATCAATGATTTTGGTGTTTGTTGGATCCAATTGATGTTTGATTACTATGATTTGGTATAATTTTCGTGCATATTTGATTACTTAAGCATGTGGATGGATACATAAGTGATTAATTGTTGAAAAGTGCTTCTAAATTGGTGTTTTTCTGCTACTGCGTCAGTGTTAATCAATTAACCAGTTGCAGTACAAAAATGGTTAATTTATTAACCAGTGTTATTTTCAAGTTTTTTTGGCTTTTCAAAAGGGGTTAATTGATTAACCACTTTTGCCTAGCAAATGGTTAATCGATTAACACTGATGCAAAATGTGTTTTTTTTTCATATTCAAGCTTGTTTTGATCCCTTTCCACTTCTAATCTTCATGGATTGATATGATGCATATTTGTGGACTATTTTTGAGTTGTTTCATCATACTTGATAGTATGCTTGTGATTCTTTGACGCGCGACTTTTGGTTTTCGTTGTTGAATATCTTTGATTGTTGTGTTGCATTCTTGATGTGATGATCATGTTGCATAATCATTTGTACCATGTCAATTGCTCATTATTGATGTTCATCTTGCTGGATATATGTCATATGGTTATGTTCATTTCAGATTCTGCAAACGCATGTTTTTTTTTATTGATTAGTGTTAAATATGCATGATATTCTTGATGAATGATTTGTTGTGCATCCAAATTGTTTGTGCTTAAGTGTTAATACATGTTCATGATTGATGCTCACCATGTCATATGCATTTGTTGCAATGTTAATGCAAGCATGTTGCCTGAGCTTTTACACCTGCTATTCTGGGTTTTAGCATGATGTTAATTGTGCATCTATTCTGCCTGCTGCTTTTTACACCTGTTATGCTGAAACATGAGCTGTTAAATGTTGTTGTGCTTATTTGTTGGGCTTTATTGTTGCTCTGAAGCTAGAGTGCTCTTGTAGCTGCTGTTTTTTTTTCTTATTTTCCTTGTTTTGGCTTGTTTGTGCATCCCGACCTTAGGGCCATTTTGAATGACAACGTTAGGGTCGAGTTTCCCTTAGACCTTCTGTGCGTCTTTCTCTTCTCTCTTAAAACAAAATCAAAATACTTAATAAATATGTTGTGATGTGCATTGTACGCCACGAGTCTTAAGCACATGGGGAAAAGATGAGCGGATGCATTTCTAACCTCATCTTAGGGTACTTTGCACGCGAGACGTTTGGATCGTTACCGCGAAGTATTTGATCCTATGTCATACACTTTAGTGTGATGCATATTCCAAATAAATTCAATTCACTTCTCTAAAACTCACAAACAAATACAAATCATTTTCATCCTTCGGGATCGTGTGTCAAACCATTTTTAGAAAGAGTATGTTATTTTTCCGATCTACCACAAACAGGCATCGACCCTAACTGTTGGAATGGGAACTTAACATCACTCATGAAAAAACACGTATTGACTCATATGCCGAACTACGGTTGCTCTAATTTCTCATGCCATATGAGGATACATAGGCACAAGACGGCGAAGTCTTGGCGAGCAACCTTCCCTTTCATCCGTAGTTTTCAGAACTACGTTGACTCTAACTTTTCCATTGCACGAGGGAATACGTAGGCATAGGACGGTGAAGTCCTATCGAGTCTCCTTTTTGTTTTTTTCATTTTCGTTTAGCAGTAGGCTTTAAATAACACACCCTTGAATTAGACAACAAGCATAGATCTCGTTGAGTACAACGAACGCGAGGAGGTGCTAATACCTTCCTCTCACGTAATCGACATCTGAACCCCATATTTGGTTGCGATGACCATGTCTTCTCCCTTTTTGAGGTTTTCTTTGACCGTTTCCTTTTCCTTGTCAGGATAAATAACGTTCGGTGGCGACTCTTCTGTTTTTTCCGTCGGTTATTTTTCGCAGTTGCGACAAGGAGATTTAAGGATTATGTTTGACCAATTCCATTGTTTTGCATCTCTATCTCGTAATTTCGCATCCTACATTGTGACGTTGATCCCCAATGTTAATTCCCTGTTAATTTCTTTATCAGGGTCCTTGTACAAGCTGGTGGCTAAAGTTTTGGCCATGAGATTAAAGTCAATAATAGATAAGCTTATTTCCTCTAATAAGCTAAGAGATATAAGAAAGTTTATCTCATTTTTAAGACAGATTTTGATAAAGCATCGATTCAGTCAGCTGGAACATCTTGCATTATATGCTTACCAAATATGGGTTTTGTGAGAAATGTACATCTTGGATGAAAGCATGTGTGTTTTCTAGTAACACCATTCTTGTTTTTGCTTGTGGCTGAGTGGCTAAATTTCTTAGTTGTTAGGGCAAAGGAGATTGGTATCTACTCCGGGTTCGGGGTGGGAAAGTTGGGTTTGGTACTCAGACTTCCTTTTGTAATTATCCTTGATTCGGTTACACTCCCTTAAAGATTAAGTTCCCAGGTCTCTGCTCTAATTATATTCATCCAGATGGGTTGGTGGGAGAGTTCATCCAAGTGGTTAATGGGGAAGAGGTTTGGGACATTAGGCATCAAAGATCAATTTTTCTTCGAGAGTTACCTATGTTTAAAAATTGTATTTCTCTTCTCCAGGGTGTTAATTTTTCCCTAGACATAGATAATGGATTTGGAAGCTTTCAAAAGAATGGAATTTCTCAGTAGCCGACACTTATCATATTCAATGGAAATGGACAATCTCTACTCAGGTGTCTAATTTATATGAGAATTTGATACTTCCTCTAATCTAAGGTAGTTAGGCTTCTTCTGAGGTGGTGGTCTTTTCCTGACAGCTTCTTCAAGACACACTCCTCTATAGAAAGAACTTGTCCAAATGAGGGGTGATTGTTGATCCTAGCTAGTGGTAGTTTGTGTCCCGTATGTGATGATTTGGTTGAGTCGGTTTCTCATCTTTTCATAACTTGTGATTTAGCTATATTTATGTCATATATGATCCATCATGGTTGGGTTGGCAAGTAGTTCTTTCTAGAGAACATAAACTTTGTTTTTTTTAGTATTTACTCTTTTTAGAGGGTAGAATTGAGTAAATGAGATGTTTTCTTGTGATTTAGCATGCGGTAGTTTGGTCTATTTGGAGAGAT